TTTGTGTGGTCGCAGTCTCCTTTCGTTGTATATAAGTTGTTTGACCTTGTTTTCGCAACTTGCTCATATTTGTAGAAAGACTTAGAGGAACGCACCTAGTCCGGAGTCCATTGCGTGCATCATCATGTCCAGAGTAGGACCGTGGACGTGGTACATTTTCAGACGTTTCACCGGCATCTTTGGTGAGTCTCGCCATTCGTAGCACCATATTACAACTCGTCAGAGACAAGAACGTCTGGGAATGTACCACGTCCACGGTCCTACTCTGGACATGATGATGCATACAATGGACTCTGGACTAGGTGCGTTCCTCTAAGTCTTCCTACTAATATGACCAAGTTGCAAAAACAAGCTCAAACAATTTCTAATCACCAATGTGTTCATGTGGCCTAAGAAGGAAAGCCAAAAGCTGTAAAATATAAAAAGGCCAGTAGCTGCCTCCATTTAAAATAATTCAAAAAATTTATTTGATTTCAATTTAAGTATGAAAAAATAAAAGTAGATAATATAACATCATATCACCCAACTATAGTTCAAAAGACACATTATAGAGAAAATAAGTTCATTCGATAAATCTTTATACAAAATTTTCAATAAATATGCGAAGCGCAGTAAAAGTAGATAGGAGAGATTAGATATACATCAAGTTAGTAAATACAGCCTATCTTGAGATAGATGTGAAAGTTCGCTAAAAATAGAAGGGCGAATCCTGAGATTTAATACAGTAGGCAAAGGTTTTCTTCAATCGTCATTTCTCGTCTTGCCATCGGCTATACACTGTGGGCAAAACCATTGACCTTTTGGCTTAACGGTCAGACCTACACATCCAAAATGAAACCACTCAACATGACAGTCGGGGTTGTCGCATGCAACCATTTCGCCATAAGAGACCTGCTTGCATACACAATAGGTCGGCTCATTTGGATCGACAGGCATGTCGAGGACCTCGCTAGGATTATTCGTAAGAGCAAGAGCTAGAGCAGCGGTCGCTGGCATTCTGGAATGAAGCACAATATATAAAAAGATTATAGTCAAATAAACAATTAAAAAAAGTCATAATGACAATTCACTTTAAGAATAAATATGTAATTTATTTCTATATTCGAGACACGGCGGAATGATCAAAAGGACATTCATTCGTAAGTTTAATCAACCCGAGTGATAATTTACTAAGGCCGTAATTGATAGTAATTAGTCTAATTATTTTTATT